GGACCACTCCCTACTGCTGACACATGCAAACCCAGATTCCTTTTCTTTCCAAAACCTACACCCATACAGGTGGGGCCCCAGCTGCAACACTGCAACGCACCTGAGACTCAGCACACATGCACCTTGTCTCTGTGCCTTTGCTCTCCAGTCCCCTCGTCTAAAAGGTCCCCTGAATTCCCTCCTACCCCAATACTTGCAGACATAATGGCTGAGGGGGTGAACCCCTGAGATCTCTCCTATGGGAATGTAAAGTGGTTAAAAACATCTGGTAGTTTCTCGAAAGTTAAATATAGAGCAAGCTACCTAGCAATTCCACCACTAGGTATCTATTCCCTCTTCCCAAATGAAATTATAGGTCCAAAGATTTGTACACAGACTTCCTAGCAGCATCATTAATAATAGACAAAGTAGAAACAATCTGCATGCCTATTACCTAGACAAAATATGGCATATCCATACACTATTATGTAATAAAAAGGAGCTAACTACTGACTCATGGTATCTCAAAAGCCTTTTTTAGAAGTGAAAGAAGGCAGATGCAAAATGCCATACATTGAATAATTCCATTACCTGAAATGTTCAGAAAAGGCAAATCTGGACAAGTAGATTAATGCTTCCCTGGGCCTGGGGTGAAAATCAGGAGCTGACTACAAATGGGCACAGAGGATCTTTCTCGAGTGACAGAAATATTCTAAAAGTGGATTATAGTGTGGATTATATGCGACTCTGCAAACCATTTTTTTTAAAAAAAATCATTAAATTGTACACAGCACAAATGAATTTTTCTGGTATGTAAATCATACCACAATGAGGATTTAAAAAAAAAAAAAAAAGATCTCACCAGATTCACAGACATTAAGAGGGTTACTGGGTGTCTACACCACTAAGTCCTGAGACACTGCGAGGTGGCATGGCATAGGCAGGTGGCATCCCTGGTTGTAACACTCATCTGTTACTAGGATCTGCATCATGGGGTCAGCTGGAATCCTCTACCTGGAACACGGATTGGCTTCTACTTGGCTCCCTGCATCCCTCTTACATCTAAGTATCAAATGGTCAAGAGCTGAGGTGCCCACACCTTGGGCTTAAGTGTGGGTCCCTCATGGAGCATCAGATTTTTCTTCCATAGCAAACCCCTCTCCTGGTCTAGCCCAAATGAGTCCAGGTTGGAGGTGGCAGATGCTCTGAGAACAGAGTTTCAGAAACGATCAAATGAACAAATTATGAGTCTACTTCTTAATTTTCACAACCTAGAGACTCCAGGCATTTTGAGAGAAGAAAAGGAAGGAGAATGGTCTTAGTATTTGTAATTCATGGAATTTACAGAAAAAAACAGGAAAATCGGCTAAGCAAGTTGCTAATATGCATAAAGGAAGAACTAGACTTACTTAAGAAGTACCCATGGGAACCTGCAGATGTTCAAGGACGGATGTTCTAAATGTCATTCATTCTCACTGAGCCATAAGAAGAAACCAGTGAGATGTCAAATTGCAAACCTAATTTAAATTGCCTTCGCTCCTGTATTTTAACATAGGTACAACTGAATTTCCTGATAAAGGTTAAGTACTCCCAACAATCATACCGAAGGAGTAGTTTTTTCCTATAATATTCATAGAAGTGTTCAATTTTAATCCCGTAAGTCTTAATTTAATAAGTGCATATCTGATCTCAGAGTAACTGCCTCTGTATTTGCACAACTCACACTGGACGCCTCACACTGAACATCTGCCATGAAGACTGCGTTACTTGGGAATTCCTAATTAAATGCATTATTAAAATCATTATTATTAAAATCACCCACTGAGTAAAACAATTTTGAAAGCAAAAACTTAAAAACTTTGTAAGCATATTCTCTATACTATACCAATTTATATTAAAATAAAATGCTAATTATAAGTAATCTTATAATCAGTAAAAACTATTATTGTTTGAAAGTACTGAACGTGGTTTTTCATTATCTTATGATGATTTTTAGTAAGTTTTTATTTTTATTTTTTAAAATATTTATTTATTTATTAGTTATTGGCGGACACAACATCTTTGTTTGTATGTGGTGCTGAGGATCGAACCCGGGCCGCACGCATGCCAGGCGAGCATGCTACCTCTTGAGCCACATCCCCAGCCCCATTTAGTAAGTTTTTAATTAACTTGAATAAACAACCTCTTTTTATATCTTTTAAAGTTGTGCCTCTCAAATTTTTTGCTCTAAGGACTCCTCCAGTAGGATGACCAGATATACCTTGAAAAGTATTTGTTTACTGAGGATTATAAGTGCCTATATTTTCAGCATTGGACATTAAAACTGAGAAAATTTCAAAATATTTATTATGTTGCTTAAAAAGAATACGCTCAAAAAATAATAAGTTCATTACATGCTAACATACATTATTTTAAGAATTTAAGCATGCCTATATTTTTCAAAAGTGGAAGGGCAGGGGCTGGGGATAGAGCTCGTTGGTAGAGTGCTTGCCTCACATGCACAAGGTCCTGGATTCATTCTATCTCCAGCACCACACACACACACACACACACACAAAAAAAAAAAAAAAAAAAAAAACCTGGAAAGGCAGCACTGTTTTACAATTTGCATTAGGCTCTTCAAGGACTGCAGTCATTTTTCTTTAATACTATATCAAAATTCTTGAAGGTTAGATGCAGTGTGGAACGTGAAACCATTTTCTCAATCTCTGCTACACTAAAATCCACTGACCTATCCAGCACCATATCAAACCATGTTTCTCATCAGAGAATCTTTTAAAGTATTGGGAAGCTGTCAAGTTCTCTGAAGTGAATACGAATTTCCCAAAATTCTAATTTTCCTTTGTGAGCTTGAATTTGATTTTCAGCAACAAATGATGTCGGTTGTTTTCTGTGATGTGACAGGCTCGTCACAATCACTTTTAATGTGTTAAAATGATGTAATAAAATTCATAAAGGACACTCTTGACTGGACTTGCTCTTGCTTTGAATGGTACACACATTTTAGTTGTAGAGCTGATGCCTCCGTTTCTACTAAACTGCCAGCACTTTTACCCCATTGCTTTGGGGGGGGGGGCGGGGTGGGAGGGTACTGGAGATTAAACCCAGGGGCAATTTACCACTGGAAACATCCACAGCCCTTTTTCATTTTGAGGCAGGGTCTCACTAGGGCCTTCCTGAGTTGCTGAGGCTGGGCTCCAACTTGCAATTCTCCCTGCCTCAGCCTCCCGAGTTGCTGAGATTACAGGGGTAAGCCACTGTAATTGCTTTTGTACCTTTGTATCATTGCTTTTGTATCATCAGGGTGAATGTCAGCAGAGTAGAAAAGGCAAATCATGGCTTAGTATTCTAATAAAAACAATTTTGACCTTGTAGATCCATTAAAAGGATACTGAGGAACAGTGAACCTGTGAAAACTGCTATATTATCATATTACTCATTTCTAACCACCACTGCAATCACTAGAAGGCAGTCACTGATTTTGAAAAGGAAAGTAACTGCTCCTCCTTTTTCAGGTTGTCCACATGAATTACCAATTCCATAAACATTAATTATAAGGAAAAGGCCACCTCTATCCAAGTTTTAATATGGACATACAAAAACTGAAATCCAGTTGCCATGGAAGGATAGACTAAACAAACTAAATTTAATATGCAAACTTCCCCCAAAGGCTTTAAAATGTGAATTCTTCTTTAAGTCACCCATTTGTTCCACATTTTCTGGGCATTTGCTTGGTGTTAGAAATAGTGTCTAAAGTCGACAATCTCTGTGGCCAGGGTCCACAAAGGCCTACGAAGCCAGGAACCAGAGCAGGGGCATGAAAGTTGGACAGATCTGATTTCAAGTGCCAGAGTCCCCACCTACAGGAAGCCTTTGCCCTGTCATCTCTGAGCCGCCTTTCTTAATTGGACACAAGGCAAATTCCACTTAAACTGTGAGGACTAGATGAAATGCATGTAAAGCATTTAATGCAGCTCCTAGCACACAGCAGGCATTCAATAAATGGAGGCTACGCTATGAATAAGGTCCCTGGGGGCAGTCGGAGTCCAGATGGGAGTGGGATGCACATCCAAATAATTATGACCCAGCATGGGAACTGATTAACTACAAAATGCAATGGGACTAAAAGAAAAATCAATGTTCTGCTTAAATGAGGACAGTGCTCTAACAAGGGAGGAGCTGGCTTGTTCGCAGAGGAAGGAATAGGAAAAAGCAAAGTGCACCCAGACATGCACAAGGTGGGGTGCAGGACAGATAGGCAAAGGGGGTCAGGCAGAACCCAAAGACCACTCCCTGGAACCCAGTCATTTAGGGCCTTTAGTGACATGTAAAGGGGCACAGACATTTAAAATGATTTCCTTTTTATTTTTGTGAAGAATGAAGAATTATAAACTGCTATAATCAGTGCTAGCAGGTTTTTGGTCTCGTATATCTCTACCTATTCTGGTCCAAGCTTGACTAGTGCAAAAGGGACAGCAAAATCACTCTCAGAGCCTGTGGAACACCAGCAAAGCTCCTGCAGTAAAGGGAATTCACCCAGGTCCTTTTGAAAGCATGAATAAAATATTTACTGTGCAAAGCCAGTGTGTACCTTCTCTGATACAAGTTCTTGATACACATAACTTTATTTTCATCCCAGCTCCAGGTCATGGGCTCCAGTGAAATTTATAGGTCATTTAGCTTAATGGGGTGAGAAGAAACAGAAAGGCAACAGTGCTCCATGTTTTCCATTGTGACTCCAGCCATCTGTGAGTCACTGAGTGAGTAAGCTCAGAAGGCCAAAGAGGCTGCCTGGCTCTCACCCCTCAGAAGAGACTGCAAATGCCTCCAGGCGAACCAAGTAGATGCCCGCAGGAGGACATCCCTACAGAGGCGAGTCTGTGCTCCCCTGGCAATTCTGCAGAAGCAGACAGAGGTGCAGTCAGTGCGAGCCGATGGCCAATGGTGCCCTGCTGCACGCACACCCAAGATTCGACCATTTAGACACAAACCACAGAAATCACAGCAATGTCTTTACTCACCCAGAATTTTACGAGGAAGAAGGCATTTTGAGGGCCCTTTCCAAATAGTTCCTTTAAGCCACCTTTCTTTTCTGGAAATTTGTCATAAATCTGACGAATGTCCACGGATTCAAGCAATGGGTCACTGTAAGAATGGTTGGCATGCCCAATGTGCACGAAGAGGTGTTTGTTGTACTGTAAGAAACCAAAAGAGACATTCCCATTACAAACCCTTGGATTAAGCAGGGGCTCACACGTCTTGAATTGGACAATGAGGCAATCTTGAAATTCGGGCATGAGGCCTTGAATGGCCTAGGTTCTCTGTGCTTTTGAAAAGATGAATATGTTAAGAAAAGTCACCAGAGCTTAGGGTGAACACAGTCATTGGCTTTTATTGACAAGGTCACATTTCCTGAAGTGCCTAAAAAAGACTTTTTTTGCAGACATAGTAATGAACAACACCATAACTGCCAAACTACCAAAGCAAGGAATACTTCTACCAACCAGTTTCACTTGACTCAGCTGAAGATGACAGGGACACTTTTTGGAGCCATTTATTTACAATGTAAGCCCAACAGAAACATGTGTGTATAGTTAGATGATGTCATCACCCAGAATGCACTTCTGGCGTCAGGTCTCCAAGCAGTAGCGTGTAGGATGTGATCTAAGCCATGGTACCTGGAGACTTCCTCCCTCTAGCAGGAGTAAGAGCACTGAGCCTCTTTGTCATCAGTCGCCTTAGTAACGCATCTGAAACTTCTGCATAAGGGTTGGTCAATAAATGGTCATCAGTGTAAAATCAGGGTCCCAAGAAGGCAGGATCTATGTCACTTGTGCATAAACAAACAAAAAACTCAGACTCTGCTGTATCATTTAACATACAAAGGTCACCCTTTCTTCCCTTATTTTAGTTTAAGACAGGATGGTTTACATATATTTCTTTGTGGTCAAGGTAACTGTTTTCAACCCAGGCCACATCCCAGTCCCCAAGGAGCACTTAAAAATCACCAATGCTGGCTGGGTGTGGTGGTATGCACCTGTGATCCCAGTGACTGCAGAGGCTGAGGCAGGAGGGACTATAAGTTCAAGGTCAGCCTTAGCAACTTAGAAGAAGACCCTGTCTCAAAATAAAAATAAATAAATAAATAAATAAAAAGGACTAGGATAAAGCTCAGTGGTAGAAGAACCCTGGATTCAATCCCTGGTACAAAAAATAAAAAAGAACATAGGGTCCAGACTTAAGTCTACACAAGCACAAAACTTTGTTTTCATTGCCAATTAGCTGTGATAGTAGTAAGTTCCTCCCTAGTCTCTAAAATGGGGGCAGTGACGACCTCTCTCTCATTGGGTTGTTAGAGAGTTGAAATATATATATATAAAATAAAGTACTAATGTATTAAGAGTACCACCATAAAGAAACACTGTAAAACTGTGTATAACCTAAAGTTTCCCAAACTCAATTGGCCACAAAATCCTACAAGCACAGCCCAAGGAAGTGCTAACCTGCTACCATGCCATGGATCTCTGGCCATGATGCTAAAAGGCAGGAAGCCAGACATCTCATCGCAAGTTACTGTCCCACATATGGACAATGTGATTGAGCTGATATTTTCTAGGGGAGGGTCAAGCCCTCTCCTATCAACTCTAGAGTGTTCTATCAAAGCTTCCAAGACCCTAAAAGATTCCAGGTAAATAAAAAAGAGAAAGCCTACCCAACTCTTACACAGACCCTCTACAGGGACTGGTTGCCTGGTGGCCTATGGGTAGATGAGAAGCTACAGACCACTCTGGAAGAACAAAGTGAACCTGCAGTGGAAGAAATTTAAAAAGTAGAAAGCCAAGGCTGTTACATTAGGAGTGTGAGATCATGGGGATGCAGGTCTTTGTTGTATAGATTTTCTCAAATGTTGCCTCATCTTTTTAACCATAAGCAAACAAAACCCTACAGAGGGGCTGGGGGTATAGCTCAGTTGGTAGAGAGCTTGCCGGGCATGCACAAGGCCCTGGGTTTAATCCCCAGCATGTGCGTGCGCGCGCGCGCACACACACACACACACACACACACACACACACACACACACAACCTGCAGAAAGAATGAGGCACAATTACAGCTACTAAGGAGCTGTATGTAGTCTCATTAGCGAGCAAAAGGATTTAAAAACAAAAAACAGTCATTTCAGTGGTGCAAAGGTAATCAGAGGTGAAATCATGAATGTGGAGTGTGTGCCCCAGGTGCTGATGGCAAAGGCGTTTTGTTCCTTCCTTATTCAGACACCTGGCTATCTGTGTATGCATCCAACTCTGGTTGATAACCTCTGCTTATACTAGCTCCCAACCCTACCTCCTGGTTCTGGGAGACACCACTTCCACCAGTTCTGCTGCCTCCTGTAGGGACAGTTCATGGGACAGAATGGAGCACAGCAGAGCCTGGGGACAGTGACTTGAATCTGATTCTCCACTTGAGCTCTACACTCCCAGCTCTCCTGCCCTGCCAGTCACCGTAGGCTGAGTCAGGGATGGGGGCTGACATTAAACAGCTTTAAAACTTGAAGTCTTCTTGCTCTGGACATTGAGATGTCTCTGTTTGGACTCAAAGACAATGGCACAGGAGGTCAATTATACCACACTTCAACGGGGGTCATGAAGGTGTAGCTGAAAACCAGGTGCTGAGAACAAAATAGAAAGGCCTGGAGCCAGCCTGATCCTGAAATCTCAGTTCTCTCCCATGTACAATGGGGATAAGATGCCTGTAAAACTCAAATAACACACAGAAGGGGCCTGGCGGAGGGCCTGGCAGACACGAAGTGTTCAATAAATAGGAGCTGCTAAGATTATTCTCCTTATGGTTATTATCATGTGAGATTAACTAGATCCTGGGGTAGAAGCAAAAGAACTTTCCTGCCATTAGCTATCCCTCCTGCCTAGTGAAGAAAAATAAACACAAATAAACCAAGAGCTGGAAGTAAGTAGCAAAGCCCCGTGACAGTTCAAGTCCTTGATTATGGCCTCCCGTGACCTGGCTGGGGTGGGGCCCTCTCACCTGTGCTACAGGACGGGGAGGCACCTGTGCCCCCTGGCTGGCTAGAGCGGTGTGCTCTTGGTGTGTGTGATCTCAGGTTATCCTCGCCTCACATCAATGCTGTAGGTGGATTTTATTAAAATCATTTTACAGATGAGGAAATATAAGCTTAGAGATTAACTGAGCTGCCTGAGGTCACACAGCCCGAAATAGTCCCGAAGTCAAGATTAAAACTTGGATCTGTAAACGCCCCAGCCCTTGCATTTGCTGCAAATATCAACCACACTGTCTGTCAGAAGAAAATGCCCGAGCCCTGCTAATTCTGCTCAATCAACATTTCCTGAAAGTTCATTTGAGAAGCAAGTGTCGGGGGAGCGGGGGACTGAACAGTGTTCCCAAAATTCTCTGAAATTAAATTAGAACTCAGGATAAACATAATGATTCACAGATGCATCAGACAAGAGTCCTCAAAGCTCTCTATTTTGAGGACATTACCTCTGTGCCCAAGTGGCTGAAAGGAACTGAGAAGGGGCAGGATGTCTTTGCCAAAGGAAATCAGGCACTGCCTCTCCAAGGCTGGTGACTCGAAACCAAACCCGGACCACTGGCATCTGAACGGCTTTACTCCTGCCAAGAGGTGACTTTGTTTCTAAGAATACAAAGGACTAAAGGTGTCCTGGAGACCACAACACTGAAACAAACAGAACTCACTCTCCCCTTAACTCAACCTGGGTAGGGCAGGGATACTTTTGTCCCCAAATCCAGAGGCCTCAAAAGAAGCATCTACCTGATACACTTAGGTTTAAGTTTTCATGAAATTAAAATTCTAAAAATGATTTGGTGAGGCTGTCACTACTCCCTATTCTGCCAGTTCGCCTTATGAGGGAAAAAGGCTAGATTTAGATTTTTCTTTTCTTTTTTGTGGGGGAGGTATGAAGGGTACTGGGGATTGAAACCAGGGATACTCTACAGCCCTTTTTATTTTGAGACAGGGTTTAAGTTGTGAAGGGCCTTACTAAATTGCCGAGGCTGGCCTCCAACTTTGATTCTCTTTCTTTAGCCTCCTAAGTCAAACAGGTGTGCACCACCACATCAAGTTAGGCTACATCCTTCACTTGCTTCCTTCCATTTCTCCCAAATAAATCTCATTTTTTCCTCCATCTATAATACTTTTACCCAAAACTATAGGTGGCACACAAAAGAGGGTTGGGCAATTACATAGGGCAGAAAACAAATACTCTCCTAAGAAAATTATGTGGGGCAATATATGAGCAGAAATACATGTGTCGAAGCCCAAAATTAGATTTCCTTAATATCTCAAACAGGTTACTTTGACTCATTTAATTTTAAAAAGTCTCAAAGGCACTCAATAGAGGCACAATTAGTCATCAATATATCAAGAACAGCAACAGAAATGATACTCTCTCTGCACATTTTTCTTTTTCTTTTCTTTCTTTCTTTTCTTGGTACCAGGGATTGAACTCAGGGGCACCCGGCTACTGAGCAACATCCCCAGTCTTATTTTATCTGAGTTACTTAGTGCCTTGTCATTGCTAAGGCTGGCATTGAACTCATGATTCTCCTTCCTCAGCCTCCCCAGCAGCTGGGATTACAGGCATGCACTACTGCACCTGGCCTCTCTGCATATTTCTTTGATGGAGTTTAGTAAAGCCACCAGCACACCTATATCTATTATATGCCAGGCACTGTGTTGGCATATAATAGGAAATCCATGTCCTAATACCACAAGGTTCATCTTCAGACTCAACAAAGTGATCATATGGAACTAGCTCATTGCTTCCATAGTCAGAATGATATGGTGCCTATGTAAACCTGTGTTCTCACAGATTCCTACAAAGATGCAGCAGACATTAAAGAAAGTTATCTCCACCTCTCCTGCAAATCACATAACTTAAGTAGAATTTACTTGCTCTTTTTTATAAAAATGACTTTATTCTCCAGTACAGTGTTATTCATTAAAAAGAACATATGCAGAATCCACCTAGAAAATGTGAATAAAGTTTCACAAGTCGAAGGTAAAAATCAAATTACCCATGATATGAGAGCAGAATCCACTGTTGGATGTATCAGGTTTCAGAAAAACTGACCTTCCTAGCATCTTTTCTCAGCAGCTGAAGAAAAACAGGCAGCCAAAAGATGTGAAAGTAAATTAAA